GGAGGTGCCCATCCCCCTCCCATTTCCTCCCCTATTCAAACATCCCAGGAGCCACCTCCTATGAGGCCACCTCCCCAGCAGCAGGGCTGTGTGAGGGCGGGATAGCACAACCCCCCGGGGACTGGGCTTCCCCTCACCCCCACTCCACCCCCCACAGCCTCCAATCCCCTTTTTCCAAGGGTCCCCTTTTACCAGGACTACCCCCTCCCCAAGCCCGAGTGCACCTTACCTCCATGAGGAGGGACCCATGCCAAACTCGTTGCCCACCGAATGATAGCTGTGAGGTGGCGAGCTTCCAGAGGGCTATTGTGAGCTGCTTCTCCAGAGAGGTGGCAGGCCGCAGGTAGGTGTCACATCTCCAGAGGGCAGGGGCGAGCCATGCACATAGCTCCAAAAAGGTGGTCTTCCACATGCGGAAGTTTTGGAGCCACTGCTGGTCGTCTCACCACTCTATGACAAGCCTGTCCCACCAATTCGAACTGGTGTCAAGCCTCCAAAAACACCTCTACATTGTGGGGTGTGGTTGCAGAGTGTAGCTCCTGCACCCAGGGAGAGGGTCCCCAAAATGAGCTCAGGGTTGAGCTTGATCAGGACCAGGAAGGCATTTGGCACAAAGTGCTGCAAAAACTTCAGCATGGCTGTGTTGGGCAGCTCCAGCTCCATGGCTCACAGGAAAAAACTGAGGCGTCCACAAAGCAGGGCAACCACAGCAGGCACTGTGAGAGCTCACAGGAAACTCAGAGGTACACAAGCATGCAGCAGAAGCAGAAAAACTGGGGGGAAGAGGGTCCCTTTAAGCCTGTGTGTCTGCAAGGCTCCAGCACCAGCACTGGGCAGCAACTTGTGACCTAAAGCCCTGACTGAATTGGTTCTGGGTGGCCTTATATGTGAGATAGAGTCCAATCAGTCTGGACGCTCTCTTTCAGAAGAAGTTTTTTCAGAAGAGCTCTTCTGAAAAAAGCTTCTTCCGAAGGAAGCCTGCAGTCTAGATGTAGCTAGAATCTCAACAATCTAAAGGCAAGATTTGTGTACCAGTGAGGGACATATTCCAGTACAGTGCTGATGTGGGCTTGATTTTCAAAATTTATACTGATGCTAAAATATCCAGCAACTTCTTTACAGGCAAGCAATGGGAAGGTGGGATGGAAGTTGAACTCCATGAAGAGGCATTTATCAAGCAAAAGCGATGAATCTGCAGTACATAGAAGCAGAAATTCTCATCCATACTTCATGACTTGTGAAGTATGTTATTAGAAACAACTGGAACTGAAGGAAAGACAACATTCAAAGCCAGAAAAAAATTTCTCATAGATAATGTTCTGCTTGCAGAACAAATGAACAACTTCATGAACTCTGTGCAAAATATAAAATGACCACATGGGAATATACCTGGCTACGTCTACACTGGCCCCTTTTCCGAAAGGGGCATGTTAATTTCACAGGTCGTAATAGGGAAATCCGCGGGGGATTTAAATATCCCCCGCGGCATTTAAATAAAAATGTCCGCCGCTCTTTTCCGGCTTTTAGAAAAGCCGGAAAAGAGCGTCTACACTGGCCCCGATCCTCCGGAAAAAAGCCCTTTTCCGGAGGATCGGGGCCAGTGTAGACGCTCTTTTCCGGCTTTTAGAAAAGCCGGAAAAGAGCGTCTACACTGGCCCCGATCCTCCGGAAAAAAGCCCTTTTCCGGAGGATCGGGGCCAGTGTAGACGCTCTTTTCCGGCTTTTAGAAAACCCGGAAAAGAGCGGCGGACATTTTTATTTAAATGCCGCGGGGGATATTTAAATCCCCCGCGGATTTCCCTATTACGACCTGTGAAATTAACATGCCCCTTTCGGAAAAGGGGCCAGTGTAGACAAGCCCCCTGTGTGTACCAGTGAGCTGGCATAGCAAAAACTATGCTTTTGCGTTTCTGGAGTCAAACAACAGTGTTGTCCATATAGAAATCATGTCAGCTCTTCACCTGACTTCCTATCACACACTTATTATTGATGAAAGCACAGATATTTCTGTTAGAAAGTTGCTTATTATTTAAAGTTTGCATGTGCAGTGCATAAGACTGTTTGGTGGAGTTGTTAAATTATCTGCTTGTAATGCACAAGATATTACAGCTACTATCAAAGACTTTTACACTCCGAATAAATTGGTTATGATGAAAATGGTAATGTTCATTTCAGATGGTGCTTCAATCATGCTAAGCAAAAACAAAGAAGTGCATTCTACATTTAACAGAACAACACTGTGGCCCATGGAGAAGACCTGGGTGTAGCTGACACGTGGAACCAAGTGCTAATGAAGAAGACAATAGAGACACTTTTTAAGACCATTTATACAGTCATTTGCAGACCCTCAGTCCGAAGAGGCCAACAGAGGAAATAGCAAATGTCACAGAAAATGAGACTACATCATTCAAACCTCTAAACGAAGTAAGGTGGCTTTCTAGACATTTTGCTGTAAGTGCTTTGATGTGTAATTACGAGACCCTTTTAAAATATTCTGAACAGAAAGTCTGAGAAAATAATGACTCCAATAGCAAAGTGCTGCCTGAATAAGCTCTCTGACACTAATTACCTTATCACTTTAATTGTATATTGCATGACTTAGCAGAACTGACAAAATGCTTTCAGAAGAGCTCTTTAACAACAGTTGGCCCTGTCCCTCCAGCAACCATGGCACACTGGCACAACTGGAGTTGCATGCTCCCAGCATGTGGGTCACTGGTCAGGTGACAGATCTCTGCATGCACAGTACCACTGCCCACGCTGCCATTACTCCCTGGAACCACGCCTCTTGGGATAAGACCACAAGGGTTCCAGGTCCTGTTCGACATCCCAGCACTAGGCATCTTCTCTGCGCAGGTCTCTGTTGCTCCGACACCAATCTCAGGACTGTCGTTGATCCCTGAACCACCAGCCTAGATGAACCCCACAGTCACCCTAGCTCCAGCATGCCATGGTTTCCGGCGGGCATGCAACACCATAGGTCTATGGCCAGTCTCTAGCACTGCTTGGATTGAAGCATCTAACCTTAGTCGCTCCCTCACCAACCGTGCAGGGTTACAGGTGGCTCTTTTGCCTGCCTGAGTGGGACAGGAAGAGTGCCACGCACTTGGCAACCAAGGGGCAACCAAGAATTTCCCTGAGGCACTGGTACCTCTCTCTTCAGCACTGGTACTCGGTGCCGAATCTGCCCTTTCTCCCCAAGATTAGCACTTGGACTCCATAAGCAGAACCTTTAGCCAGATGACCCTGTCTTTCATTGTCTAGGAATGAAAGGATCTAGAGATTCAACACTTCTCAGAGATGGGGAACTCTGAGTCCAAGACAATCACAATGCGGTTCGCTAACTGGCATATGCCTATGATAGGCAGCACATGCTTTAAAGCCAGGGGAGTTGGGCATGCCCCATCCCCAAGCTATGTCCCTAACGGGGGTGGAAAGAGATTAACTACAACTATTTACAATAAGAGGAGAACTACTTACAAGTGCATAAGCTAAGCTTAGTAGAAAAACTACAGGAGAGGCTGCAGCAAGCAGTTCCAAGCTCTGTCATTAAAGGCAAGAAAGAACTGTGGGTATGTCTACACTAGCCCCATAGTTCGAACTAGGGAGGCTAATGCAGGCGACCGAAATTGCAAATGAAGCGCAGGATTTAAATATCCCGTGCTTCATTAGCATGTTCCTGGGTGGTTGTCATTTTGGAAATTGACTAGCCTGGAAGAACTGCCCGCATCTTCATGCGGCAGAGAAGGGCGATTCCGAAATGAACCCCTTACTTCGAATTAACAGTTTAACCTCATGGAATTAATAACTGTCAATTCAAAGTAAGGGGTTTATTTCAGAACTGCCCTTCTCTGCCGCATGTAGACGCGGGCAATTCTTCCGGGCTAGTCAATTTCCAAAATGGCGACCACCCGGGAACATGCTAATGAAGCACGGGATATTTAAATCCCGTGCTTCATTTGCAATTTTGGTCGCTCTCATTAGCCTCCCTAGTTCGAACTAGGGGGCTAGTACAGACATACCCTGAGAGAGGAGAGGACCTGGCAGCACCCAATATAGTACAGCATGTACGTGCCACTCTAGGGGGCACTGGAACTGGTCCCCTATAGATATTAGTAAGAAAAAAAATCTTCCAGCCCAATCTTCTCACCAGTCCAGGTGGCAAGCACATACACCTCCATTGAATGGACATAAACAAGCACTCGAAGAAGAACCCAATAAATATAGCCTCAGAGGGGTAACCATGTAGTCTGTAACTTTAAAAACGAGAAGTCTGTGGCACCTTAGAGTCTCATTAGCTTTTGTGGGCAAAACCTACTCTCTCAAATGAACCCCTCAAGCTCATTTGAGAAAGTGGGTTTTTCCCATGAAAGCTCATGATACTATATATAATATTATATATGTTATAAATATAATATTTATGTTAGATTCTAGGGTTGCCACAGGATTACCAATAAATATATTTTAAATACAAAACAGGACTATGTAGCACTTTAAAGACTAACAAGATGGTTTATTTAAACCATCTTGTTAGTCTTTAAAGTGCTACATAGTCCTGTTTTTTGTTTCAGTTACACCAGACTAACACGGCTACATTTCTATCACTATATTTTAAATCAAACTTTAAAACACCCAGGCAATTAATACCTTAACTATTGGAAGCCCAAACCCTGTTGAATGTCGTCTCATTCCAAAACCTTTGGGGAACAGTAGCCATGATTCAGTGTGTATTTAACTTTAAGCATGGGAATAGTCCTGTTGCCCTCAATGGGACTACTCATTAAAGCCAATAGAGTGCTTATGTGTTGTGCTGAATTGGGTCTATATGAAGCAGTGGTACAGCAGAATATAACAGGCTAAAAAGTCTATATGTGCAGGCCTCTCTCACGTGAACAGACCCATTAGACTGGAACTATTAGAGTAACTGAGGGCTGCAGAATCTGGCTCCTCATACAAATGTAACACAATTATTAAAAATATTCTGACTCCACACTACTTACCAAAGTTAATGCCAAATCTTCTGTCTCCCTTTTCTCGTCCAAGTACAATCGGGAATTGTTTTGTCTTCTTGAAATGATGCAATCCTGAATTAGCCTTGACTGCTGTTTGACTATTTTTGGCCCAATATCCTTCTGACATTCTATTTCCTCTTCTGTCTTAACATCTGTGTATTTTTTGATGTACAGACTCAACACATGTGAGCAAAGACTAACGGGCAAAGCATCACAACCAGTACATCTAATTTGACATTTACAAAAAGTCACAGAACAAAGATATTGTGATATGTTGGAAAGTCCACAGAGACTGACAGGAGAATATAAAATTAACACAGAGCAGTAAATTTAGGTTAAGACTTATGGCTACAGAACATGTGTAAAGATGGAAGGACAATGCTGGAAGAGAAGCTACTTAATTTTGTTGGCATCTGCAAATTCCTGGTACATTTATCCACTACGTTTCAATCAAGCAGAAAGCCAGCTCCTATTTAACTGTAATGAGACATTCAAATGGGTGCTAATAGCCATCATTAAGGGTGCTAATAGCCATCAATAACTATCATTAAGGTTGCAAATGCTGTCCACTAGAACCCATTATTTTAATCAGACATAATTTTCAAAATGTTGAGTACAAGTGCCTTTGTGTGGTTTGGGGAAAATAATGTTGTGAATGATCACTCATACTCAACAGGCATCTGATAAGGGTTGAACATCAAATGAAACCCTGTGCTCTTTGTTTGAATAATGAAAGACTGTAAATGTCTGACTAACACAGCAAAATTATTCCCTGCCCACCCCAAAGACAAATCTGTTACATCAGGAACAGGAAATAAGTAGATGTAATGAAAATGCTGTAAAAGAGTTTCTGACTTTTTCAGGGTCTGCAATTTCTGTTAGTATTATCCCAGACTAGAACTCAGTTTCCAAAGGCTTGATTGATAAAATGCACTGCAAAAATTCTAGCCTCTTTGTGCTTCTCACATGGCTGCTACATGTTTCACAGGTGAGTTTTTCTCTGATGTAAATTCAAACTATGGTCAAATGGGCTAATTAAGGGTACGTCTAGACTACATGCCTCTGTCGCCAGAGGCATGTAGATTAGGCTACCTGACAGAGTAAAATGAAGCGGCGATTTAAATAAGGCATACCTGGGTTGTCGACAACTCAAACAGCTGATCAGCTGTTTGTCGGCTCAGCGCGATAGTCTGGACGCTCCCCTGCCGACATCAAAGGGAGTTGTCGACAACCCAGGTATGCCTTATTTAAATCGCCGCTTCATTTTACTCTGTCGGGTAGCCTAATCTACATGCCTCTGGCGACAGAGGCATGTAGTCTAGACGTACCCTAAATTAATCAATTTGGAAAGAAGCAAATTAGGAATGGTTTCCTGTATTTTACTAAGAGGGTGGGGAAGCACTGAAATGGGTTACCTAGGGAAGTGGTAGAATCTCCATACCTAGAGGTTTTTACGTCCTGGCTTAACAAAGCCCTGGCTGGGATGATTTATTTGGGGTTGGTCCTGCTTTGGGTAGGGGGTTGGACTCGATGACTTCCTGAGGTCTCTTTCAACCCTTTGATACTATGAGTCTCTGAAACTGCAAAGAGGCTGCTAACAGTATTAGAAAAATGGGTACTAAATGCAGAGGAAGGGGAGATTTACTACCAAATACCTGTATTGTCCTAAATGCAGAAAGAAGAAAAAATACAACACAGTCACAAAATGGGAAGACAACTTTGCTCATCATATTCGAAATAAGTTAATCTTAATGTTTATTATTTCTGAACCTTAATCTATAGGGAAGTTTGGACTCAGGTTTTGGAGGCTGGGAGCAAAGGTATATAGTTCAGGATTGTGTGTATTCTTTGCTTAAATTTGGTATGATTTTTAAATATTCTTCAGGTATGTAGATTTTCAGGGAGTCTTCTGACATAGCATGGATGCTGGTGTAATTTAAAAACACACAACCACGTAATCAGATTTTTGCAACAATCTGCATGTATGTCTTGAAGCAATAATCCAAACTGCTGATTTGGGAGGACTTTATATACTGTTAATATTTTAACACAGATGAAATAATCAGTTATTTCAATTTAGACATTTATTCTATTATCAACAAAGGTTTTCCCAATTAATGAATTTACGGTCCAAATACACATTTGCACAGAAATTCATCATTATTAATTCTCTTATTAATTTGCTGTATTTAATTTCATCTATATTACTATTATATGGAAAAGTAAGGAAGATATTTAGAAAAAACCAGAGCGAGCTGCTTAAGTAAATCATGAAAGGAGCTAATTTATTCTTATTCGGAACCAAGGTTTGTATAAGAGGGAAGTCCTGAATTTCTTATTCCAGCAAAATTCTTATTCAGGCCAACAAGAACTTTCCTGGAGAAAGAGTTTTAGAACCAGGCCCATTTCCTTACATTCCACGGGACCAATTTGAAATGGGAGCAATGTGATTATTCCTCCTTGCAATTTTGCTGTTATTATTTTACAAAATGTGTTCTCCCATTTTTCCTGGTCCTGGTCTACTCTAATAAAAAGAACAATGATTGTCAATAAAAATCAGATCTTTTGTTTTCCGAATACGAATGGCAAAAGCTGACATTTTCTTTTTAAAACACATTATATGCCTGCTCCTGTTCCTAATGAAGTCAGCATCAAAATTCCCACTGACATCAGTGGGAGCAGGACTGGGCGCTGTACCCAAATAAATTGTGTTTCACCATTATACATACCTCTGAAAAGAACACAGACAAGATGACTAGGCTGATCCAGTGAATAATTCCTGCAAACTGTGATGCACTTGAAACTGTAATTAACACAATATAACAAAGGATAATTTTAATACGAGGTAGCTACTTATATATAATGGTGATTAGTACCATCGCCACTTACATTTAGGAGGAGCACTTCATCTGAAATACTATAATGAAAAAGCAACAAATTGACTAGATGCAATGGGACATGGAGCTTTACCATCTTACGTTGCTCCTTTGAATCAATACAGGTCTGTAGTAACCATGAAGTTATCTGATGACTATTCAGTGCCTTATGTTAAAAACAGTAGGTGATCTCGCTTATTGTTCTCACAGCACAGTTGCTATCACCACTACACTAACCAGAAGTCTCAGGAGAGAGGCCAAGGAATGATTGGGTTCATCCCAGTATTCTGTATTGAAATTGGGTCACCTGTGTGGTCAACTGCCTGTAGATAGGAGCCTCTGAAAAACAAAGCTAGGAATTAGAATAGGCAATGGAGACCCTCGATTCGCTTTCTCTAGTAGTGGCTTTGGAGACAGTGGGTGTCTTGAATCATGCGAATAAATTCCAACCCACCAACCAGTGATCTGCTAACTGCTGTAAAAGCTGAACTCTCACAGCAGACTTCTGTCCAGGGAGCTCATTGCTGGAATGCTGAGGGGGTTCTAACTGGTCCTCAGCTTCTATTTAAACTAATCACAGGAACAGCAATTGTCCATGCAACTAGATTTCTCCTTTGCAATACTTTCTCCTACTGCCTGAGTCTAATCTCCTACTAACCTGAACCTTCCTGCCTCCTGCCTCCCAGTTTGCCTTCTGACCCCCTGGTATTTGATGCAGCCTGTCTTCTGTTCTGATTACCAAATCAGACCACCTGGTTGAGGAAGTGGGCTACTTAGGATGGAGGTGAATCAATTTTATCAAAACCTGTCAACCTAGTTTGAAGCCCTGTAGGAAAAAAGGAACATGAAAAGACAATGAGGGTGAGAGTCTGCATTTGTTCTATGCATGCAAATCTTTGGTGCACAATATCCTGTATTATCATTCTAGGGTATAGCTGTACAAATCCTTTTGGCTTTACTAGGGGATGGAGACTAAATCCTGTGCAACTGAAAACTTAAGAGTAAAGTTTTATAAGCTAACAAAAAGAATTACTTGTTATTCTTTAAATATTTTTTTTTAAAAAAATCATGGCATTAATGCTGGAAGATCAATAATTGTTTGAACCAAGTTTTTCAAGAATGCATACATAAATTAAGACACCTTTTATCGCTATTAGGCACTTAAGTAAGTGGCCTGATTTTCAGCTGTCTAACTATGGAACATAAATATTGGCTTCTGCTTTCACAGAAGAACAAGGCATTTAGACCCTGCCCACTCATAGTTAGTTAGAATCTACAAAACCAAAATGAACACCTGCATTGAGCCCAATATTAGAAAACACTTTGAAGAACTAAAGTAACTATTAACAATATTTGATCCCTGCACGTGAATCCAATTGAGCTGAATTAGAAAAATGTGAAATATCATCTGACATCAAACTGCAGGGTGAGCTCACCTTTTCCTCCCGAAAAGGGACAAAGGGACATTGGGCCTCTGAGGCTCCTCCCTTGGACCTCCAACCCTACATACGTCCTAATGTTTAAAATCAATGGTACTGCTCCCTTGCCACAGGGCAGCGTGCCCTAGCAGCCAGAGTCAACAGTACAGGGAAGGCTAGAGCCCCCTGTGGGGTTGATCAAAGGTGGGGGACTCGTGTCTAACCTCTCCACCGGGTCCCAGTCCAAGGCCCTGTCAGCGATGGAGTGGACCACCACCCACGAGTTGGTGGGGAATCTGGCCAAACATGCTGAGCACCCAGGATTCAACCCCTTCCTACTCCCAAACTACTTCCTACCAGTCTCTCCTTTGCAGTCGGTTCCTTCTCCAGCTGCGGTTCCCGGCTACCTGGCAATGGCATCTGTGTGTACCTGCGCTTCTCCTCCAGGACCTACTGCAGAACCGCCTTCCTTGTCAGTGGGCAGCCCAGACTGAGCTGCTCCACAGGCCTTTATAGCTGGCCTCCAGCTGGAACATGCCTAACAGGGCTGTGGGAGTGAAGCCTACTCAGCCAGGTAGCCAGGCTTAACCCCTGCAGCCCCAGTGCAGGGTATACCATCACACACCTTCCCTCTTAAGAGAGGCTCTGAAGGAGGTGGCCCTTCTTACTCCTCTGCTCCAGACTGGGGAAAAAAACCAAGTGTTTGCATGGGCCCTCCCTGGACAATGTGACACCTTAAAAGTACAGGGTTGGAGGGATAAATACCAGCACATAACCCACTTGTTGCTGTTGATCCAATGTAACTGAGCATGGAACCAAAGTAAAGGTGGCTCCCAAGAGATAATATCATAATGGCACATTTCACAGCAAGTGCCTCTTGCTCTATGGTAGAATAGTGGGTCTCCCAGGGAAATAACTTGTGGCTTAATTACAAGATGGGGAGCTCCTCTTTTCCTACCTCTTGGGACAGCACTGCTCCTAAGCCAAACTTTAAGGTATCCATCTGGAAGATGAAGGGCTTTGCAAAGTCTGGCTGTTTTAACACTGGTTCATGTGTCAGCTGCTCTCACAGTGCCTGGAAGGTAACCTCACAGTCCTGGGACTCACTCAACTTTCTGGGGTTAGTGGTTCTTCGTCAGATCTGTCAGTGGGGTGGCAAAATTTGGTATGAACTGGCGATAGTAGCCAGCCAGCCCATGGAACTGCCAAAACTGCTTTTTTGTTGTGCGGGTGGGATACCTCCATAGAGCCTCCACCTTATTGATTAAGGGTTGCAGCTGCCCTTTTCCTACAGTATAGCACCTGCTGGCACAAGTGGCACTTGGCCGGATTTGCAGTGAGGCCTGCCTCACCCAGGGCTCATATTACCTTGGCTAGATGTTGGAGATGTTCCATCCAGCTGTTGCTGTAAATAATAATATCATTAATATAGGCCACCATATATGCACTGAGGGGTCCCAGAACCTGATTCATCAGCCTCTGGAAGGTGGCCGCAGCTCCATGTAACCCAAAAGGCATCATGGGGAATTGGAATGGTGTAGGAAATGCTGTCTTCTCCCTTGAATGGTGTTAGTGGAATCTGCCAGTACCCTTTTGTAAGGTCCAGGGTGGAAATGAACTCTGCTTGGACTACCCATTCAAGCAGTTCATCTATCTGGAGCATCGAATAGGCATCAAAAAGTCCACACAAAAACTAATCGACCCTTCTGGCTTGGGGACTAGGACTATCACGCTCCTCCACTCGCTCCAGGATTCTTCTTCCACTTCCAAGGCTAGCATCTGATTCAGTTCTTCTCGCATAGTGTCCCACATTTTTCTGGGGAGCAGGCAATGGTCTCTCATCTTCTGTCTGGGGATGGTGGTGCTGTGGTGGCTCGTCAGGCTTATCATCCCTGGCTTGGCTAACAACTCATGGGTGAAGTCAGCCATTAGCTGTTGTAGTTGACTTTGCTGCTCAGAGTCAAGTTCCTTTCTGATGGTGACAGGCTTGGGCTCTGCAAGTTCCTCTACCCGATGCCCCAATTCAGCCTCTGGGGAATACGGGGCAATCATCAGAGCTTCCCATGCCTTCCAGGCTTTGAGGTTCACATAATAGACCCTTGTCTCCTTCCAGCACCCCGGCAGACATATCTCATTGTCAGAAGGTCCTACTTGCCTTGCCACCTCAAAGGGCTCCGGCCACTTCACCAGCAGTTTTGATTCAGATGATGGTAACAACAATAGCACCTGGTTTGAAGGTCCTCATTTTTGCTCCCCGGTTGTACTGGGCTGCTTGTGCATTTTGAGCCCGCTACATGTTTTCGCAGGCTAAGCTGCCAAACTCCCAGAGTTGTTCCTGGACTTCTAATATATATCGTACTGACCCTTGGATCCAGGTTTCCTGTTCTTCCCAGGTGTCCTATAAAAGCTCTAAAATCCCACAGGACCACCTCCCATAGAGAAGTTCGAAGGGGGAAAAATCCCTTTGGAGACCTTACAACAAAAAGCAAGGTGGGCAGCAATTTATCCCAGTGTCACAAATCATCTTCCATGAACTTCCGCAGCATAGATTTCATCATCCTATTGAATCTCTCTACTAACCTGTCTGTCTCTGGGTGGTAGACTAAGGTTCTAAGGACACAAAAGTTCAATAAGTGGCATAGCTCTGCCATGAGCTTTGAGGTCATATTAGTCCCTTGGTCTAATAAAATCTTTCATGGTAGCCAGGCCCTCGGTAGTTCATTGGTGATGGTGGGAGCTATGGCACCTTGTAGGGGGAGTACCTCAGGGTGCCATAGTCCACTATTACGAGGATACACTTATGGCCCATACCACCCTTCTCTAAGGGTCCCTCCAGATCTAAGCCAATCCGCTCAGCAGGCATCCCTACCAAGGGTAAGGGCATCAGCAATGCTCGAGAGTTCCCCATTGGGCTGGTTTTGTGGCACTCAGGTCATGATGCACAGCAGTCCCATATTTCCTGATGTATACCCAACCAGAAAAACTGCTGGAATATTCTCACATCGTGAGGTGCCCAGCCCAAGGCACTGCATGTGCTAGGTGCAACAACCCCTGGCAGAACTGTTGTGGGACCAGCAGCTGGCAGATGTCCATCTAGGTCAGTGGTTCCTCAACCCAGTCATAAAGAACATCCTTTCTGATCTCAAACTGGGGTCCTCGGGGCGGGCGCTGAGGTTGACCATCTCCCCAAGTCATGTTTGTCACTTGCTCCCAGGATTGGGTGACACCTTTGCTCTTCAAGGAAATCCCCCTTTCCCCCAAGATCCCAACCTACTTAACAGAGGTCAAAGGGAACCTCTCCCAGGTTGGGTTTGGGTCTTTGTGCCTCGCGGTCCCCTGAGGGTCCCTCCTCAGGGTGGTTCGGTGAGAGCCGTCCAATCAATACCCTCTGTGAAGAGGCTGAGCCTTCTGTGTTCTCACAGTATTGGTGCTCCAGTCACTCAGAAGGTCCATGAAGCCTTGCCAATCACATCATAGGACCACTGGGTAGACTAACTTTGAGGTCACTA